CCAGCCCCCCCCCCCCGCCCGCCAGCTCCGGCATGGAGCGGGGTGGCCTGGGGCTGGCCAGCGATCGGAGCCGTGCAGCCCCCAGCAGAGGTGAGCCCCCCCGAGCCGTGCCGTGCCATGGGGCACCCCACACACCCTGGTCTCACCGGCCGGTGACACCCCGCTCTTTGCAGACACCCTGAGGCCAGGGACCCTCCCCAGCCTGTCCGACATGGGGGACCCCACGGAGGCCATCAGGAAGGAGGAGAAGAAGGTGAGGCCAGGATGGTCCCGTCCCATACAGGATTGGAGATGACCGGGATGGAGGATCCCCCCATAACTGCTTCTCTCCCTCCCCAGATGAAAGCCGCTCGCCTCAAGTTTGACTTCCAAGCCGAGTCACCCAAGTAAGTGACGGCGCTGCTGGGGGTCCCCGCCGTGCCCCCGCGGTCCCGCGGGCGGTGGGTGGGGACTGGAGGAGCTGCGGGATGTGGGGTGGCCGTGCCGGAGATGGGTCGGTGTCCCCTGGGACCGGCACGAGCGGTGTCCCTGAGCGCTGCCGCTTGCAGGGAGCTGACGCTGCAGAAGGGGGACATCGTCTACATCCATAAGGAGGTGGACAGGAACTGGCTGGAGGGCGAGCACCACGGCCGCGTGGGCATCTTCCCCTCCAACTACGTGGAGGTGAGCCCGGGGGATGGAGAGGGGGTGGCCGGGCATGGAGAGCCTGGTGTTGACTGTCACCCGTGTCCCCCCCCAGATCCTGCCCCCCACGGAGGTGCCCAAACCCATCAAGGCGCCCACCATCCAGGTGCTGGAGTACGGGGAGGCCCTGGCGCTCTACAACTTCCGAGGGGAGCTGCCCGTCGAGCTCTCCTTCCGCAAGGTACCGCCGTGCCATGCCGTGCCATGCCGTGCTGTGCCATGCCGTGCCGTGCTAACCTGTCCTCTCGTTCCCTCGGCAGGGCGAGCGGATCTGCCTGGTGCGGCGGGTGGATGAGAACTGGTACGAGGGGCGCATCTCTGGCACCAGCCGTCAGGGCATCTTCCCTGCCACCTACGTTCAGGTGCTGAAGGAGCCGCGGGTGAAAGCCACCGCCGAGGACTTCCCACCCTCGCCCGCCTCCGCCAGCCCCCGGCCCCCCGCCGG